GTAAGTTTGGTATCAAACTTTAGATTATAATTCAAATTTTAATACTATATATTACTCAATATCTTAATTTAAAATCAAATTAGAAACTCAAATTACTGATATTGGTGAGCTATAATATATAATATGATCGTCTTATCTTTTCAATTTGCTTAGATAATAATTGAAATTTGACTGTACTTACAAAGTACTAGTCTACTAAAACATAGCCAAAACAAGTTACCTTGCACAGACCAATGCTAATTTTATGTTATTTGATACAGTAACATGAGTGAGCTGTGTCATTGTAACTTCTGTATTGTTGGCCAGACATGGGTGAAAGGTCAATATAATAGAAATAATAAATATATAAAAATATATAATGTTATGATATTTAAGCTATTTAGTCTAAACATTTATGTTTTCGTGTTATAACTTGTGTTCATTCTAGAATAAAAGAGGCATAATTTATATTCATTTCCTAATTTTTTATGGTGGTTGCAAGATCAGTCAAATCTACTGAACCTATACAGAGATTAATTACTGAAAAGAACACATAAAATATAAAGTTTTTTCTTAAGAAACATTTGATAACTATCTCGACATAATAAAGATTTTGCACGTGAAATTTCAAAATTTTCTGATGCATAAAAGTATTTTTAATCATAAAATGAATATTACTTTGCATGATAGACAGGCAACATGTGAAAAAAACAACAGACATGAGAAATACATTGCTTTATAACCCTTAAGACCTAATTAAAAAAAACTCGATATTTTGCATATGAAAGCATTGTAATGTTTACTGATAATTGCTAGATTTCATTAACATTTGCTTATTAATTTAAAAGTTGTAGCATGAAAACTATAACAAGCACAAAATGGTTACGAGGTCAATTTTTTTAATTGTGTATCAATACATGTTGTATTTTTAGCCATGGCATAGCAGCTCATAGAATGGCTCCGATTTTATTTTTTCAAGTACAAACTTTTAACTCATAGCTTTGTCATCTCTTGACTGATTTGAGATCTAAATACACTTTTGAACTCAGGAGGTCAAACTCTTTCGACTGAAGTATTTGACCACACCCAAGGTCTCATGAATTAGATAGCTCTAATCCTGCCTAAAAGAGTTTCAATTTGAGGGTAGGCTGCTAGAGATCCTACTGAATAATAAAATTGAATCAGATACATGCACGCCCCACATTTGGTATTGTTGGTGCACAGAAATATAGATGATAAAAAGGAAAAAATGGTCTCATAGATTAATTTATTCTAATCCTGCCTAAAGAATTTCAAGTGCCACAAGTATTGAGGATTCCCTCTTGTTTTTATTTATTTGACTATTAGATTAACTATTAATCAAACTTTTATTCTGTTATTTGTTTCACAGAAAAGCTATCTCTCAACAATATCTTCCTACATTTTATTTTTTGTCTTAACCTTATTAAACACAATGTAACCCCTAACAATAAAATTGCTCAGTTCCAGCAATTATCTCTTACTGTTAACTCCATATATATTCCATACCACAAATGTCAAAAACCATTAAATATTTACTACTGTAATATACTCAAATTTTAGTTGTAGGATCTATTTCTGACATTTTTCAGTTTAACTACCTTTTACAATGAATCAGTTTTTACATTTGTTCTTTTTACACCCTGTTTAATCACTGATCTTTTTAATAGGGATAAGGATTATTTTCGTCTTTCCTTAATGTTGTATCTGTTTCACTCGTACCACAGGATTTTTTCTCATTCATGTTACGTCATCACTCTATTCTTAATTATTTTTTTTTACTGTCATGGCTTGTTGAATCACATTATATTGTACTTCTTGATTTCATTAAAATGTATTTATCAGTCTCAATGCAAGTAAATTTACTTTTGGATGTCACTAGCATTAATTGCTTAGTCTGTTAGTAGTAACAACATATAGCAGCAATTGGTGTATTCAACCCTAATTTTCATGTTATTATACATACTTGATCAAACTGTATACTTTAAAGTATTGTAACTTTTTCTTTATGGCCAAGAATGTCATTAATAGCAAGGGTATCCAAATGATGAAACAATACATTCTAATCTTTATAAGTAGATATGTAAGAAAATAACAATTAGCTATACTGATGGTCATGTTAATTTTCACTTTTGCTCTATGTACATAGCTTACTCTGGTCAGAAGTTATTTTCTATTATTTTAATTCTCTTTTTGTGATATTCAACTAAATATTAAATTAGTCTTTCAGTGTTTCTTTTCATGAAGCACATAAATCAGATTAAGCATTGCTATTTGATGTTTCTGTTTTTTCTAACTTTTCTGCTGGATTATATATAAGATATCAATGGATCATAAAATTTAATATTGAATTTAAGAGCTTAATGTTTTTTTTAACTCTTAATTTACATCAGTGAATGTATTTTTTTTTCTCTACAATGCTATCTTCACTTTTATATTTTAGAAAGATTTTACTAGCTTTCAAATTTCACCCTCTACTTTTAGGTTCACAATTACTTCCTAGTCACATCCAATTAACAAGAATAAAAGGTTTTACAGTAGTCTAGAGAGTAACCCTCAACAGAGTAATTAGTATTAGTAAGCTTGTATTATTAACCATTCTTGCCATAACTAACCAATAGTGTCAATCACTTTGCTTTTCCTAATTTGCCTAATCCATTCCCACATTACATTGTAAACACCATTTCTATTTTAAATGAAAACAAGCATAATACTTGAAAATTCAGTCGAAATTAGCATTTCTATTTGTTAGAAAAGAAAAACCAATGTTCTCGTATTTCAAGAATATATCTGTAACATCTACTTGATTCATTGGTTATCTCTGCAAGTCTTTCACAACAATATAGAAGGAAAGGACTGTTTCAAAAGAAGAATGCAATGAACAGTTGAATTCAGAAAATAAAACTATGTATCACTTAAACTTCATGGATTAATGATACAAAACAGTCTTTTATCTTAATGTGAACCATTTAATTTTTAAAAGAACAAAATGTTGATAATGAAATTTGAAAAAAGATATGAATAATAATAATCAGAAAAACATACCTAATTTTCAAGTTTTCAACCTCTAGCCCAACAACTTAGCTAAATTTTCTATTCTCACAGTTAGGGACATGTGATCTTAACCTACCTCTCATGGGTATCCATAAAGGAAACTTCTCAAGTAATACTTTCTTCTGACTTAACCTACAAATTTTGTTCTACAGCTGGTGGAACTCACAAATTCACAACACTTACCTAGTGGTGGAGGGCTGACATGGTAAACAAAGTCATTTATTATGAGATGAAAATCTTCCTGCATCAGGGTCTCTATATTCGTAGATGCTGCTATCCTTATCCCATCTGTGTATAAATATTTTTTACATGACAGAGTTGAACACATTTAATTCAAGTGAAAAATGGATAATTCAACTGAAATTTGTTTTTAAAAATACACCATAGCTTTTAAATCAATCTAGTTTTTCATACACATGTTTATTCAGTTATAATATATATGCTGACGTACATAAAAATTTCCAGAAACTGTATAAACTTGTTCCTCAACAAATTTAATAAAGATTCACAGAAATACCAGTCCCCCAATGTTTAGTATAAATCAATTTTTATTAATCTTAAATATTTATTACATAGAGTATTTTGCATTGTTAGCTTAGTATATGGATTTAGGACTAACCTAAATCTCCTAAGATGGCTAAGCCTCATTAGATATTATTGAAATTACAGTAAAAAAAAATAAAAATACTAACAGCAAGGATACCTAAATAATGAAATAATGCATTCTAATTATAAGTACAAATGTAAGTATAGTACATTTCATTAGCTATAATAATTTTTAGATCTGATTTATGTAGGTAGCTTGCTTTGATCAGAAGTTAATATTTACATTAATAAAGTTGAGTATGATTAAGCTATCTGTGTGTGTGTGTGTGTGTGTGTGTGTTCATACACAAGGTTTTATCATGTGTCTGGTCAATCAATGAAACATACATGTTTACAACAACTTATCACCTTTAACACTGTTGAGCATTTCCTTCTAGACACCAATGTTTTCATAAACATTAAAATACATAATGCTATTTAAATTGATTCCTTTTTTTAAAATTTGAAACTCAAGAATGCATGCAATGCATCAAAACATATTTAGAAAAATATTTTGAAGAAAGAATAAACCATGCAATGGATAATGTATATTTTCAAAACCCATGGTATAATGACATACTTCTAAATTAGATGTACAAAGGTTATAAATATGTACTTGATGCTCTAGTCTGGACAAATATTACCCACCACAATGCCCTACGGGAATGAGATTATTCACATCAAGGGGCGATACAGAGATTTGTACAAACTGGTAAGAGTTGTGAGTTTCTTTCTCTTAAATATATACAATGGGAATGATTACTTATAGAAAATCTAAGGACTGTGGGATACTGCAATGGGTCTTAGTTTGATCTGATACACAGTATCATAAGTGTTCAGATTTCTCTCTCTCGCCTGGTAGTCAGAAGTCTAAGCAATTAATTTAAGAATCTGATCCCTATAAGGTAAAGCCACAGCACATATTCGGATTGTATGAATAAAGATTTTATTTTTATTGTTTTTACATCTGTGTTTGCTTGTATTGTATTCATACATTCTCCATATAAGAAACGAAAACATATTCCATTGTTTGAAATATAGTAATATGCATCAGAAATAGAACAGAAAATAAGCAATTCTATCTTAAATTTAAGAGAATTATAAGGTCTTGAATTTCATAAAGAAAATTTGGGAAAAGACAATTTTTTTTTCTATTATATATCCTTTACTCTTACTTCTATTTAATTTTTACCAAATTAATGTTCTGGGCCATCAGTTGTTTAACAAGTACATTCATGTCATATTTAATTAATAGCTTCACTACTGTAAAGTTAAATTAAAATTACACTGATAAATCAACAAACTGAAATTATTTTAAAATCTGAAAGAGAAAAAAGGCCTATGTTCTGAAAATTCAAGTTTTGTTTACAGTTTGAGTTCACCTTTAGGCTTTAGTATTTCAAGTTCTCTGTTTCTAAATATTGAATTTTTGCATACAACTTGCATATCACCTGTGTTTAATGTGTAAGTTCAGAATTTAAATGTTACATTCCGCTGTTCAATTTCGAAAGCGAGATTCTAGGCAGAGATTGAAGTCACTAAAAAGTCACTGGTATCAAATGTGCAATACAATAAAACATTTACTGTTTTCAATTGCGTTATATAACATACAAAAACAACACAAGTTGAAAATAACAATCACCTGTTGTTTGAATGTGAATTCTGTCAATCCCATGATCCTCATTTTTCAAATCTTTTATAAAATCATTTACTGTACTGCTAACTGGCCTCAGTGAGAATCGACATTTTTCTCGTCGTGATGGAAGAGGTACTGTGACAACCGGAAGACCTCTTTGATAGAAAACATCAGTTTCTACAACCAGAAAATATGTAAGGAAGTAAATAAATAATTAATTGTTTGCAATTTACAACTAAAATTCTTTGGTCATATTAGAAATAAATACGCAAAACGTTGCTTCAAAATTAATCTTTAAAACCTTTTTAAACATTTATTGTTTAATTTCCCCATAAAACATCAATTTAATTGTATGTCATACATCGTTGCATTAAATGAGCTCTATAGTAGAGAAGTTTGAATGACATATAATTAGTAAACTGAAATTTTCTGAATACAAATTTTGGATATTTACGAAATACTTCAAAGTATTTCAAATGAAAAAATTTACAAAATTTTACAGCTTTAACGTCTAGAAAAATCAACAGATGGCAACAAGTAGGTTTTACTTTCAAGTTAGATTTCAAATAAGTATTTTTTCCTCATTATACTGAACTGTTGTCTTGTACACTTACAAATACTCAGTGACGTGTGCCAGCACTTATCATATAACACAGCAATCTTTATATTTCAACAAAAACAAATTTAAACATAAATGCTCTTTGAGCATTAACACCAAAGCGTTTTCTGTAATATTATAAAATAATAAAAACAAACAAAAAACACTTACGTCCGTGAATAATATTGTTAACGCTAGAGACCTCACTTGCACAGTATCCTCGGCTGGCAATGCCAGGTAACTGTATCTCCTGAATTAGGAAAAGCGTAAAAACAGGAAAACATATTATAATGGTCCAAACATTAATTTTACAATATGGTGAATTATTTCACGTGTTTTAGTGCAGGTCAGTACATTTGTCCATATAAGGTGAGTTTAAAATTCATTACTTCAAAATAAAAAAAAGGAGCTAATCAGATTAAAACGTTATCGTTTTATCATATCATGCGATTTTTTTTTTTGGATCCTAGATTGCATTCAGTCAAAAGTGTTGAATATTCTGCAAGATAGAGTAAATCTTTTTTTTTAAATCACCCTTTACAGTCTTGAAGTGGAGATTGATGCTTCTATCGAAAAATTAAAAATGCCAAATATTGAAAACAATGTCCTACTACTACTGCCAAGTAACTGTTTCATACGATACATCTTGTTTGTTTGAGGGCTATCTGCGCTAGCCGTCCCTAATTTAGCAGTGTAAGACTAGAAGGAAGGCAGCTAGTTATCACCACCCACCGCCAACTCTTGGGCTACTCTTCTTACCAACGAATAGTGGGATTGACCGTCACGTTATAACGCCCCCACGGCTGAAAGGACGAGCATGTTTGGCGTGACGGCTATTCGAACCCGCGACCCTCAGATTCGAGGCGAGCGCCCTAACCACCTGGCCATGCCGGGCCACGATACATCTACAAACAGTTACAAATCGTGTATTGGTGCTTTTTGTTTGTTTGAAAAGTTAAGCGCAAAGCTACACAATGGACTATCTGTGCTCTGCCCACGACGGGTATCGAAACCCGGTTTGTAGTGTTATAGGTCTGCAGACATATCGCTGTGCATTGATGCTTTTTGTTTTGTTTTCACAATGTAGTAACGACAACTAAATTTTTCCAGACCTTGCTCACGTGCCTATCGTGATAGTACATTAGAATCAACCGCTATACGTAATTGTATTAGTTTATCTTACAATAGCCACGGAAATGGTTTGGTTTTTTGTATTTGTAAAACGCAAATCTACACAATGAGCTGTACAGCGATCGAAACTTGATTTTTAACGTTACAAGCCCCCTCCCCCCAGACTTGCTGTTGAGCCACAGGAGAAAAGGCGCCACAGAAGTGTATAATGAGGTCAGTTTTTGTTTTTTTATTCATTGTTATGCATCTCTCGTTGTTTGTCAGATCACTTAAATTGCATTATTCCAGGGCACGTAAAGGCTGGACAATATTCGACTGCTAAAACACAGTAATGAAATACACTTCAGCACATATTCTAATATTAGAACTAACGTAATAGCAAATACTCCAGAAATCCCTCATTAAAGGTAACAAATAGTGTGATTTAAAAAAGATATATCTTCAATACCATTACTTACGGTTAGGTTTGTAAAGTTTATGTTTATTGCGCGTATTACCCATGATTTGTACCTTGCGATGTTCATTGTGGGAAATCTATAACCCCTTAAACAAGATCATTGAAACATTACAAAACACGCACCGAGTAGCTTATACATGATTTTATATGGTTGTAGATACAATACATAGATAAATACTTGTAAGGTTTTCTTCATGGTGTGCATATTAAGTTCCACAAAATATTTAGTATTTCATGTGTCCATTTGTGAACCACGCTTAATTTTGCTCATATGGTTATAGTAATATTGCATGTATGCTTGTCTCTTTTATGTGACCAGTAATCTTGACTTGTTTTTCACAACATGTGGCGTACTAAACATGTGCAGAGATAGATATTGGAAGCTCTGATTTCTCAGTTTTGAATAACGACACTGGTATCTGGATCTGAGAGAAATGGAATCCTTGAAAGTTCTGGCATAGCTTGAGCATAGTTCCAACCGAAGCTAAGACTTTTTCAAAATTGCCAGAGTATTCGTTCTGTGCAGCCTTGTGTCATAATATATAGAGCAATCTGTAATATTTATAGACTACAGCTGTTCATTTTACGTTTAAATAAAGTGACACATCTGTGTAAGTCTCTTTTTCTTGCCCCCCAGTGGCACAGCGGTATGTCTGCGGACTTACAACGCTAGAAACTGGGTTTCTATACCCGTGGTGGGCAGAGCACAGATAGCCCATTGTGTAGCTTTGTGCTTAATTACAAACAAACAAACTCTTTTCTTTTGATCGAGTTTGACTTACTCATGCTTTGCAAATTCTACAAAGATCGTATATTTGTGGACTTAATACTTACATCTCGACTTCGTTAGTACAGTAAATGAACAAGTCATATTTTTAAAATAATGTGATGGACATAAGCAGGGGCGTATCAGTATTTCAGAGTGGGGAATGGGAGGGGGTCTTTTCCAAATAAATGTGTGCTTTTCCCTGTACACAAAGAATTTAAGTGATTTACCTTAGCTTAAAAAACTTGTAAAATGAAATTTTTAAAAACTTAAGAGCTAAAATAGAGAGGAACTCAGCTTACCTCACATTAGTAAGCTGCTGAGTTGTAAACGTCTTGGGCAAGCCTTTTCAAATAAAATAAAAATCAGAAAACTGGTGGACCTTTTAGACTTTTTAGGATACTGCGATAGTCATTCACCCCTCTACCCATGGCTAGTAATTTCTTTATGTTATCAACTTTATAATAGGTTAGTTTTATGACCTTGCTAAAAGCAAACAAGGAACACTTCTTGAGGCTACCAGAACGAGCACCCAAGGCCTTCTATACAAACTTGTAAACATAATTATATACAAACTATGACCGTCCAGAACTATGTAGATATGAGTATAGCTATTAATTTAGACTAAGGATATAATTCTTTACATGAAATATAAATAGCAAACGTTAAACGCAATGGTTCATGTTGATAGCTAAGGGTTTATTAACTTTTAGGGTATATATAAAGCAAAGTTTTCTTTTCCACTGTTCCACAAGCTGTTCTGTTAAGAGGAATTCACTTAAGCAATTTCCAATGAAATCTTATAAACTCGTTTAAGTCCAAAGATCGAATTTAAATGGATAAGTCATTCTAAAAACGGTTCCATTTTGGTAACCGTTTAACTTTTACCTCCTTAATGCCGCGAATAAATCGGGCACAAAGTAGGTGAAATATATAACAAAGTTTGCGTTTAATGCTTCTCATAGCATAGGTGCTTTATAACAGACGAACTGGTCGTGTACTACGGCCCAAAAGGATTGGGAGTGACCCACGCCCCATTTATAACACTGCTTTTTAAGCGCATTCAGCATTGCGAGATATCTTTGCTGGTATTTTTTATTTAATTCATTTTCTCAACCACGCCATATTCTGGTCTCAACAGTAACCAGTTAAAGTTTAGTTTCGAATTCGAATAACATGCCCGCTTCTTCCTTTCCCAACTTTGTGTAAAGGTACGTGTATTCAGCATTATTGTCAAACCTTTCAACATTCAAGTTAGCTATAAAACTACCCACTTTCAAAATACTTAGTTACGAAAGAGGGTTTCATCTCTTAAAAGCTCCCAGAATTTAACAGAGTATAGTAATAAAACACTACAAGCTCACTCAATTTATAGCATTAAGGCGCACAATAATTCGTTGATAAAGATGAATCTGGCACTTTAAAGATCTGTAGATAAATCATTTTAATCTTACATAAAAAATTGTCTCATCTCGAGATTGTAAATGGTTTTATTTTCTTAACTACTGTATTTTAATAAATGGTCCTTATATATGCATTGTGTGGGCTTAATACATTTCGTTTAGGAGTAGGGAAATTGCTTTAAATACTTTGTTCGACACCCTTAAAAGAAAAGGTGGGTTTCATTTTCTGGAAAAGTTGACCCTCCTTAAACCTTGTAAGATGTGCTGTTAACACAAACTGTCGTAGCAGTTTTCTTCTATTTATGTCTTTGAATTGTAAAGCTGCAAAAAATCGCGAGGGATTTTCATTGTCATGCAATAATAGTTTCATTCAGTAACATCCAATGAGAAGCTGTGTAACACATCATTCTCTGTTTTAGCGCCAAACATGTATATGAAGCTTGGAAATTTCATAAAGTATTTTAAGTATTTATGTGTACGTAGTTAAACAGTTACTGCTAGCTAATAAGAGCACATCAAACACACTACATGCAAATTGGGACAAAATTCTTCTGCTTGAATGTGTTAACAATTCTGTAGACATTTTACCATGAATTGGTACTTTAATCAATACAAACGTTTAAGAAAGGCTGTTATGTTACTTTAATGAAAAGTAGGCATGCACCCATTCGCAAAAAACACTGAAAATGTATGTATACCCAGCCGGTCATAAGCTTGACATAATAAACCTGATGAATCTAATCTGAATATGATCTAACACACGTGCAGCCTATTACTTATAGTCATTTGTACTTGCATGTTATTTCTAGATCAAACAAGACAGATTTTATCCATGATGATATACAAAGTTCACAATATGTATTTCAGTACGACACTCAGTACTTCTTGACCACAAGATGCTTCTACTCTAAAGCTAATATCAGCATTTAGCTTGAGTTCAGTTTAATCCAACATATCATTTTGTTTATTCAGCTTGTATTATTTTAGGTAGTGAGTTATTTTGAAGTAACATTCACTGTATTATTAATCCAAATTTCGATTAGACTAGCTTTCTGGTTAAAGTAGAACGTGTTTGTCAAGAATGGAGTTACTTACATCTGTAACTAGTTACTTTTGCTTGAAAATATGATCCATATACACTGCTATAAAATAACAATGTAGCAAACTTGTTGACTGTGCATATGAAAATGAAAATTGTGGAGAAAGGGGAAATTAATATGAGTTCTTTTAAATTAAAGAACTGCCTTCACTCCTGCTACACAATTTAGTTAAGTACCGATGAAAACTATTTTTCAATATTTAGAAAAATCTCTTATGTTCACAAATGAAGTTGCGAGGTGAAAATAGATTTTGCATACATTATTTTCATTCACAGCTTCCGAATGGTTGATAATAGAGGTTTCTAAATTTTCAAATGAAAAATATTATCGGAAAGTTTAGTGCTGAAGATCTGACATCGATATGATTTTATAGTTAATAGAAAAATGGGTAGT